GAAGGGTTTAGGGGTGAAGGGCGCACAGGTAATGGGGAAAAAATAAGAACCAAGATACATCATGTACAGGTACAAGCACCCAGTGATAAATGTAAATGTATTATATACCTAAAATGTACCAATAAAAGAATTTAAGGGGGAAAAAAAAGAAATAAAGTTTCAGAAACAATTACCATCATCCATTCACCTAATAAGGCTTATAAATATGGGGGAAATGAGAGGTCTTAGTACAAGAAGCCTGCACTGCTGTCAAGGAAGCTGCAAGTTTAGGGATCACGATGATCACAATGGAGTCTTCAAACACTTAATTATTCCACTCTTTTCTTGAAATCCTACCTTTTGAATGATAGTAACAATGCCCCTATCATTGAACTGCTTCACCAAACAACCATATCCTATCCTCAAAATAATCACCTTACGTCCTCTGAACCTGTTGGAAAAGACCAGCCAACATGAAGATCCAAACATGACTAGAACTTCATTCTCATTCAAACTCTAGCAAACTGAGTTTGTCTGAAGATATATGGTCCACGAAATCAAGGTGTTGAACTATAATCTTGCTGAACCAACTGGGCCTGAAGCATATCTACACTGGACGTGTTTATTAGCACACAGTCAATCTCTCAGGGTACCTCCTATCCTCAGAGTTATACACCCTGAGATATTAAATGGTGGTGTGGTCCTGTTATCCCAGCACTCTGAGAGGCTGAGGGAGGAGGCCTGAAACTTCAAGCCCAACCTGGGCGATTTAATGACTTAGCAAGACCCTATCTCACAACAAAAAAGGGGTGGAGGGGTAGCTCAGTGTGAAGGTTTTGGGGTTTATCACCAGTATTGCTCCCCAAAAAAAGAGTTGCCCAAATGAGTCATAATGCTGCTCCTGAGCTGGTACTTGAAACAGTGATAAATACAAAAGAAGAAAAAGAAATGATGTTTCTCAAGAAAACTAAAATTGAACTTATTTCAAGATTTTAATTAGGAATGCCTTGAACGTAATATAGAGATAATATAGACTTTTTGACAAGCCAAATTTGGATAAAGTAGCTCTATTATCAGTGCAATGCTTTTCTGTCCACATAAATATGCATACCACAGCATCATTAAAATGATATTGTTTATTAAGCACTTATGACTTAGTATTTTAATAGAGTTAAGTTGAACTGCTTAAGGAAAAGCTATGTATTCATTACAACTGAAGTTTAAGTTTAAGAGTTAAACAATAATCAAGATTATTTTCCCTTAAACTAATGGGTTTATAGTACCGAATGGTATGTATTGGAAAATCTTCATTCTTTACACTTAATCTATCTTTAACTTCATTCAGCCACTCACTAAGTTTATTTTTGAGTTGTGGACAGTAATTATAAAAATATAACTGCTGAGAATTTTAAGGTTTCTCATATTTTCACATGTAAAATTAACTGAAATTTTGTATAATTATCACTATTTGAAGAAGAAATTAACACCAAGGGGAATAAAGGAAATCTGTCTGCAATTAGAAAAAGATTCACTTGTGGACTGTGGCAGAGGATAAAGATCTGAGCAGAGTCCTGAATGTTTGCGAGGACACATGACTCACCACACTGTTGTTTCTTGTCGCTAAGATATGCTGAGAAACTTGGAGATTCTGTTTAATTTCACTTCTACTAAAATTAAAATGAGGTTGAAGCACCACATGATGGTAGATTATTTCAATAAGCATTCAGTAACTAAATGAAATAGAAGACAAAGGGAAAAAGAGCAACTAGTAGGAAAATCGAGGATAAGAATAGTTGTGCCCAGAATTTCTCAGCTCAATGCAGCAACAGATAGTTGAAAAATAATGAGTCATTGTACTGAAATTTCTGCTCTTTTTGTTAAAACTTTAATCCATGGATTAAACTACTTTAATCAAAGTAAAAACTTACAATGAGAAAATATGAGGCTTTCCAGGGTGCTGTTTTAGCCAATTAAATTATTCTTTCTTCTGGTCATTCACACTTGAAAAAAGGCCATCTGTGACTGGTCATTAAGCCAGGACAGGTCTCCAAGTTCAAGCACTGGAGTAAGACATTGCTCTGATGTATTTGTCTTTTTATAATAATAAAATCCTCTTCAGCCTTGTAGGACATATCTCTGACCTTCAGGCAATCAGACAACTACCATGATCAAGAGAGCCCTCTATGTGTGCTAAGAATTGTATCTGCAATCATTTTCCTGACACTCATTTGGATTCTACACAGTTCCAGAAATGTGCAGTGATAATCAGATTAACAAAAAAATTAATGAACAATTGACATAGAGAGGTCAAGAATGTTTACTCAGAGCAAGAGAAAAAACTCTTCAGTCCTTACCATCATCCACAATGTCCTGGGCTGCCACAGAGTTTGTGTACACAACCAAATCCGAGAGCTCTCGGCAGAGCTTCATGGTTTTCCTTCGGCGGCCCAACCTGCAAAGTACACACCCAAGATTCGTGACATTTTAGAGTTGGAAGAGGTTTGAGCTTTTGGTTATTCCACCCTCTGTATTTAAGAGAACAAATAAATGATCTGTCCTAGGACTTAATAGTGTCACAACAGACCCAAGGATGATTCCTAGTTTAGTACTCTTTCCATCATGTCATCCTACTCGTGTAGTCCTAGTTGTTGCTCCACCAGGAGTCACAGCTTACACTCAGGCATTTTTAAATTCCATTGTGAAGGGCTTGATTCCCACTGTTACCCAACTAGGGAGAAACATCACAGAGCAGAACCTACACTAAAAACAAATAGAAACATTGCATTATGGATCACAAGAATTATATACCCAAAGGAAATATATCAAAATTTCCACAGGGATTATCTTTTAAAGGTGTGATTACAGATGTCTTAGTTACTTTTCTCTCATTGTTGAGACAAAATACCTGACACCCAAAGTTAAAGGGGAAAAGGTTTATTTAGCTCACAGTTTTAGAAGTTTCAGTCCAAATCAACTGTCTGCATGGGAGGGTGGCAGAGGGGCAACAGTTCATGGCGGCAGAAGACAGCAAAAGTCACAAGGGGCCTTAACACCATCTTCCTGCCTCTTTTATTTTATCCAGACTACTTAGGGTGGGTAGCACTCACATCCTTAATTCTAGTGCCCTTGAGCCTAGCATTGCACCATGAATCAATACCAGTGTCACACACTCTAGATCCAGCCACCTCCGAAAAAGCCCTACCTCCTTTGCATGAGGCTTGGGGGGGGGGGGAGACAACTAGACCCAAAGCATAACAACAAGTATTTTTATTTTCTTCTTTACACTTTTTCTGTATTCCCCAACTTTCTTAAAACAAGGATTACATTATTTAATACTTCTTTCTCAGATATTTTCTATGTTCTCTCTCTCATACAAACCATACCTAGGATTTCTCCTCTACAGTCTTACAAATTCTGCCACTACTCCTTATTACATTAAAGTCCTCCACAGACTATCACCCTCCTTCACATGCACACTTTTCTCCTCTAGGGGAATATCTAATTTTTTAAAACTCCATTCCTTACTGATATACCAACACAAAGACCAATAAGCACAAGACTGACACTCAACATTACTAGTCATTAGGGGAATGCAAGTCCAAACTCCAATAGGATACCATACTATGCTTCTAGGATGGCTACAAACAGAAAAGCAGATAATAACTAGTATTATCAAGGATAAGGAGCAATTGGAATCCTCATATATTACTGGAAAGTATAAAATGGTACACCTGCTCTGAAAAATAATTTGGCAGTTTCTCAAAAACTTAAAAGTTATCTTGCTTCTCAGCAATTCTACTTCAATATACCCAAGAGAAATAAAAATGTACATCCACATAAAAATTCACACAAGAATGTTCATAGCAGCATTGTTCTTAATAGCCCAAAACTGAAAACAACCTAAATGTCCTTCAACCAATGAACGGATATATAAAATGCAATATATCCATACACTGGATTATTTGGCAATACAAGGAAATGAAGTGCTGATAAATGCAACATGGATGAATCTTGAGAGCCTTGTAGTAAGTGAAAGAAGACACTGGCAAATCTACAGAGAGAGAATGTACACTAGTGGTTGCCAGAGACTAAGGGAGAAGAGGATAAAAAGTGATTGCTAATGGGTACTAATTTTCTTCTAAAGGTGATGAAAGTGTTCTGGAATTAGATAGTGGTAATAGAGATTTTATGTACTCAATGAAAACATGAGTACATATTGGAGATAAAACACTGAACAAATTAGGCAAAATCCCCACCGTAATGGTGCTTACATACGTCCATAAAAGAACTAAGGACAAAATGTACCAACAGTTCATTTTGCTAAGAAAGGAGGCATGAATATAGACAGGAATAAAAATCAGTAGGAAACCAAATATGATGGTGCATGCCTGCAATCCCAGAACTCTGGGAGCCTGAGGCAGGGCAACTGCAAGTTCAAGCCCAGCCTGGGCAACATAGCAAAACTTTGTATTAAAATGAAAAATAGGGCCAGGGATTTATCTCAGTGGTTTCACCGCCTGCTGTGCAAGCACAAGGACCCAAGTTTGATCCCTGGTACCAAATAAAAACAAAATGTTAAATAAAAAAGGGCTGGAGATATACCTCAGTGAAAAGGCCCTTGGTTTAATTCCCAGTACCATAATAAACAAGGAAACATCAATGGGAAGAAAGAATGCATGTTCATTCTTTATCATGTAAGTAAGAAGTTCTATAGCCATTGGTGAGAATCCAGTTTTGTGAAGGCTACTAATTACAAATCAATGTGAAGTTATGCTTAGAAATTATAAGTAAGGGCCAGGGATTTAGCTCAGTGGTTCTGCCGCCTGCCTCACAAGCACAAGGACCCGAGTTTGACCCCCCAGTACCAAAAAAAGAAAGAAATTATAAGTAAAATTCCAAGTCATTCCATGTTACAGAAAAATTCTGCATGAAATTAGCTTTTTTTTAGCCATCATCCTAGGAGTAGACTAAGTTAGTGAAGTCCCAAAGGACATCATCATAGATGTTCAGGCTCCAATAGCTACTTTGGAAAATCTACAATTGATTCAAGAGCAGCATGCAACATGATTTCATGTCATACCTGCAGTGATGTCTCATTTGAATATGTCAAAATTAGGCCTTTTTCATATTCTGCTTAACAACATTTATAGTGGTAGTCTTCTTGAAGATGATTATATTTATCCTTTATTGTAACTAAAGGTACATTCACATATGTCTGCTCTGCTCTTATTAACTAGTTACTATTTTACATGTAAATATCCTGTTGGAGTTGAATTTAGTGTTCTAACTGAACACTAAAGTTTAATTCCTACAGAGCACCTATTCTTCAAATTTCATTTAATTCTATCATTCAATAAAGGCATAGAGGAGTGTGTGTGTGTGTGTGTGTGTGTGTCTAGCTAAGATGTAATTTACATTTCTTTGTGAGATTTATAGTATAAAAATGCCTGAAAATCCTGTATCAGATCATGTATCACAATTTAAGCTCTGAACTGGGCTGGGGATTTAGCTCAGTGGTTTCGCTGCCTGCTGTGCAAGCGCAAGGACCTGAGTTCAATCCCCGGTACCAAAAAAACAAAAAACAAAAAGAACAATTTAAGCTCTGAAAATGGTGGTCCTTTTCTATTTATTTATTTATTTATTTATTTATATTAGTACATGTTTGCTATACATAAATGACTGCATTCACCATGGGGAGTTGGTTTTTGGACATAACACATCTTAATTCTTTTTACTGCTCCTTCCTCTCCCTTCTCCTCTCCCTCTTTCTCTTGGTCCCCTTCTCATTTTTGCAAATCATCACAAATACTGCTGACAATAAAATACGTTTTTGAGCACTTATTTTGAGCTCATTATGCTAATTAGTTTAACTCCTTTAATTCTTATAATGACCCTAAGAATATACAGAAAACAGGAGCTTCACTTGTCCTATGTTAAAGTTAGTAAGTGGAGGGACAAAAATTTGAAATCTGGCTGATTGCAATTCCCTGGCTCCTAATGTGTGCTTAGCACCCATCTTTCCCCTTTAGTCTCCTCTATCAGCCTTCTCTACATTCATGTGGCTTCTCTCTCTTCTCTGAAGATATGTTTTATTTGGCAACTGCTACAGCTAGCCTTTATGAAGTGTCTCATTATGTGCTAGGCACTGTGCCAAATTCCCTACCTACACTGTTTCATAGCTAAACTTCAAGTTTTACTTGGGGACCTTACCTTGTGATCTACACAACTAAAACACAGCCACAATGACAGGAATGGAAAGGTCAGGGGAATCTGAACAAGAACCAGAGATGCTCTCTCACCTGTATAGCTGGCCACCTTCCTTGCCAGGATTCTGCTGTGTGTCTTCCTCATCATCAATACTGTAGGATTTAGACCGTGATTTTGTGGTTTTCTGCAGGAAAAATCACAGTAAATGTAATGAACTCATCATATCAGGTATACCCACAGCATACAGAGAACAAACTGGGTTTTAAAATACACACACATACACACACTGGACTAATAATGTGGAGGGGAAAAATTTGACCAAATATTGCAGCTTGCTTTACCATTAAATAACAAAGATGTTTATGGCCTTACTTTTATTAAAATATTAATAGCAAAATTTAAGGTTTCATGCCCAGAAACTGATTTCTAAGCCCCAACATGACACTACAAGTGGAAAAATCCACATCCGACCCTATGTGACATGTCATAGCCTGAACACAGACACTCTAAAATTATGGCATAAAATTACCTTAAGGTTATGTATGAATTTCATATTTAGACTTGGGTCTCACCCCAAAATATCTTATTATGTATATGTAAATATCCCAAAATTTTAAAAAAATCAAAACATTTCTAGCTCCAAGCATTTCAGAAAAGATACCCAATCTGTACCTAGTAATTTGAGGTAACACAATAATAAATCTATCTTTTTTTACAGTGCTGAGGATTGAGCCCAGGCCCTTGTGCATGCTAAGTAATCACTCTACCACTGAGCTACATACCCAGCCCATAAATCTGTCTTTTTAAAGTTCATTTTTTATTATAAAATATAAAAAATGAATTACCAATGTGACAGATACCATTTGGAGAAATGATGATGTAATTTCTGTACATATAATTCTGACACATCACATCATGGTTATTCTACCATAAAATTCATTTCACCTCACTTTTTCTTTTAATGTTTTGTATGTTGTGATCTTCAGATAGATCATCTTTCAATGGTTGCCCATTACTCAGATAATCATGGCTTACTTAAGCAGTTCTTTGGGTAAATATTTTGCTTGTTTTCAATTATTTATTGTCATCATTAACTTGCCCAGCCTATTTATAAGTTATTACCCTGATCAGCAGAAAATTCCAGACACAACATTCCTTACAATAGAAGAAATGGTATCACAAAAACCTCACACATAATGTAAAGCTCATCATCCAATAACTCATTTCTTGTAAAATGTTTACTTTTTTATTGAAAATATTTAGACATCTATACTAGGTCACCAGTCATAAGTGTACAGAATGACAACTTTCTTTAAGCGATGAATGAGGAGACAGATTATAGTCAAATGAGAGGACAGAATATAGTCTGGCCCCTAGAAGCCCTCTGATCTTCCCATTCTTTTATTATTTTCTCCCCTAAAAGTAACATCTATCTTATGGAGTTTCTGTGGGAGATTTGTGGGAGGTTGGTTTTAAATTTCATGTAAGTGGAGTCAAACTGTATACACTTTCTTGGTTTCTTTTGTTCAACATTATAACGATCATCCTATAAATGTACACAGGTATAATTTTTTTTCTTTTTCATGGCTGTTATGTGACTATACCACAATTTTATTTATTTGACTGTTGACGGACATTTGGAGTATTTTCTATTAGTATTATTACAAATAATGTCACTATAAAGGTTTTTGTTTCTGTCTTTTGACATAACCTGAACAGTGGAACTGCTATGCTGTGATAAATAGCACAGCTTAGAATATCCTGTGAAACAGTGTGCCACAGGGCTTTCGGAAATGTGCACACTTATGAGCAGAGATGAGACTTCAAATTGCTCAACATCCGCACTAACTTGTGGTGGATGTGTACATCACCACTGAAATGTGCATTTCCCAGATGGCTGAGAAGGGTGAGCCCCATCTCCTTAGCCATTTGGACATCTCTTTTTGTGAAGTGCCCATTGAACCTTTTGTACATTTTTTAGAAATTATATTGCTTGTCTTTTTATGGATTTGGAGAAACTATTTACATATTCAGTATAGAAATCCTTTCCTAGATAGTGTATTTAATAATTTTATTCCCTAGTATGTGATTTACTTTTTAATATTTTGGATAAATAGAAGTTTTTAAGTTTTAAAGTAGTTTAAATTTCAGTCTTTTCCTTTTCTAGGGTTCTGCTTAAGAAATCTTTAGCTATTTCAAGGTCACCATACGTTCCTCTGTTACCCTTCAGAATCCTTAAATTCTGATTATCGACTCTGCATATTTATCACTCTTAATTCATACCTTGTGTTTTCCAAAGTTGGTCATGAGCGATCGTCCATGTGATTTCTTTCCACTTTCCTTCACATCTGGATTCTGAATAAAAAAAGGAAAAATATAACTATTTTCCTTCTTTTGATTTTCTTTAGCTCTGGTGAGATGGCAGAGGGATACTTCCTCCCCTTTGCCCTGCTCACTTCTTCCTCTGCCACCCTTTTGGGTCTACTGCAAAAGAAGGAACACTGGATGGATGCCTGGCCCCAGCCAGGATGTAGCCACTGCCCACCACTTCCCAAGGCTGGGGCCACAGGCTCTGAGCAATGCTGTGCTCTGCTGGCACTCACAGTGCTTGTTTACCAGCCTATCCACCATGTAGGATATGTGTTTTTAAATGCACTAAGGGAGATAAATCATTTTCAGTTAAGAGATTTATTTTGTTTTTTGTTTTTTTGGGTACCGGGGATCGAACTTGGGTATTTTCGCCTGCATAGCAGGCGGCAAAACCACCGAGCTAAATCCCCAGCCCTAAATTAAGAGATTTAATTTGAGGGAAATGACCAAAAGTCATTAAGAGCCAATTTTGTTGAATAAAATGATCATGTTGAATATTTGCCATCTAGGATTTTAAAATATTAAAAATAAATAAAACCCAAGGATGTCTGTGAGGTAAAAAGACAGCTGTTACATGTTTAAATAAGCCACAGCAAAGCTTATTTATGCATTGAAATAATTCCCTCATTGGTGGTCACTAGAAAATGGTAGTATTGTGTTCTCTGACGTTTTCCTCATGGGCTAATTTTCCAGTTTAAAGATAATGAGCCAGTTGTCCTTGCTTGAACCTAAACTTCATTAGTGTTAAAAAGGCCACTCTGCTAAAAGGGTTTGGATACTTATTTAATTGTTATCTTTTAGAAATACATCAGGTGGTTTATTGTTCACGATATGGTACATGGGGAAACCAGGAGGCCCTAATCATCCAGAACTCCAGCTAAACAGAGAAGAAACAGAAACAATAACATGAATGGAATAAACATGAGTTAACAAAATTGGTGAAGGGCATCTGCTACATCCATACACACTGATCAAAGATTCAATTCTGGGGAAGAAGGTGAGAAGAATCTGAGAATTGTTTGGGGAAGGGGTAATCCAGAAAACACTGATGGAAGAGGGATGATGTTAATTAAGTATTGCTTGGTTTATGTGTGTTCATTGCCTTTGCTTTTTTTTTTCCGTACCGGGGATCAAACTCAGGACCTTGTGCTTGCAAGGCAGGTGCAGCACCACTGAGCTACTTCGCTGGCCCTTTTTACTCTTTTGTTGTTGTTGTTGTTGTTTTTCATTGCCTTTGAAGACCAACTAATGCTGATCATTAATTTCAAAATCTCTGAAATTAAGAAGGTAAGTACAGGGGCCGGGGATTTAGCTCAGTGGTTTCGCCGCCTCCTGCGCAAGCGCAAGGACCTGAGTTCGATCCCTGGTACCAAAAAAAAAAGAAGGTAAGTACATATGGCCATAAAATGAACACTCCTCTCCAAGTTAGGAGATCTAGTTCTCCCTCTAAATAGCTACATATCCTTTGATAAACCCCTTCTTTCAGCTTCAGTTTTCTTATCTGTGAAATAGGGGAGAAATTGAACAATTAACATGTGAGTTCCTTTCTACCTCTAACATTTCATCCATGGATAGAAGGACTATGGCATTTATTGTGTAAAATGGGACACTTTTAAATGTGAAACGGGGCATTTTTATATACAATAATAACAGGACAACAGGTATAAAGCAGGGCTATCCCAAACAAATTGAGATATAGCATCCCTTAATTTAATAGGCACTGGCTATACCCAAGGATACTGCTAAGTGTATTGCATATATTCTTATTTAATTTATACAGCCATCTCTGGAGATAAGAATCATTAAAATCTCAATTTCACAGGAAATAAAAACTAAAATGTAGTAAAGTTAGATAAAATGTACAAAGCTACAACAAATTGGTAATAAGAATAGAGATTCTGTCTGGCTCCAAGTCTCTTTTCTGGTTTCCTCTTCCCCCAACTTCTTCCACCCCATGCCTCATCTTTACATTGGAGACAGATAACTACAATTATTTATCTCCAACTGTGATCTCTCCCTAAACATCAGCACTACATCTTTCATTGAATTCATGGGTACAGCACCATCCTAGGTACTTGATGTGTACGAGGGCAGAGCAAACAAGAGAAATACAGGCCCTACCATCACAGGGCTTACAATCTAATGGTGGAGAAAATCTCAGCACTTCAAGACAATAAAAGCTGATGAGGAAAGCTCAGGGCACTATGAGATAGCTGAACTGGAGAATTATGAAGAACTTCTAAGGGGAAATAGTGCAAAAGCTGAAATCTACAGATGATTAGATCTTATCTATGTGAATTGAAGAAGAGAAAGTGTGTTGAGGCCAAGGAAACAGCAAATAAAAAAAGCCAATAGTAGGAGCATGGCGCCCTTCTAGGAAAGGAAGGAAATGGGTAATGTGTTTGTTCGTACTTACACATGCCACCAGTGAGAGTCACAGTCACAAACACACACTAATTTAAGAGTGGGGGAGGGACTGAAGAGAGAATCTTGTGGGGTGCATCTCTGAATTTGAACTTCAGCCTACAAACTATGAAGAACCTTCAAATGCTTGAAACCAGAGAATGACAAGAACAGATGAACATTTCTGAACTATTGCTATGGTATAGTAGTGGTAGAAATGAGAGGTGGTGGGGGTTAGCAGTGGGCCCAGCACAGGCGAGAGCTGGAAGAGCTGTTAGGGGCTGATTATGGTTACCTAGAAGCAGCAGTTCAGATATAAAGAAAAGAGCATGCCCAATAACTCTTAAGATCTCTTTCTTGTGTGTACATCAGTTCTTCCAGCCTGAAGGATTTCATTGTTATTCTTCAGGGCTCTCCAGGAAAAATACAGTACAAATAGAACTCAACCCTGCATTGCTGAATTCTAAAAGGAAGAGTTGGAATGATGCTGTGCTGAACCACACTCTGCATGTTCTCAGCTTGAGATTTAGGTGTACATACTATATTTAGCACAGATGTTCTTGTCTCAATGGTAATTTACCTTACTTGCCCACAGAATCCAAACTGTATTTTGAAAAGTAGCATAGCAGTTTTCAAGACCTCAGTACTTCACAGCCCATTTTATTAAAATCACAGGCTCCATTTATTTTATAATAATATAATTACATTCTTTTTGTAACCCAGATTTAAGGGAAAACAAAAAATAAAACAAAAGGATATAGGTTTTGCTTTACCACATCTCTAAAACTTGAGGTTGCTTACCATTTTACCTGATGGTAAAATTATTATTTGAATATCTTCAATGAATAGCAAAAGAAAGCTGAGCTTAATTTGTTTCTTCCTAAATATCAACAACCTGTGGTTGCTTTCCCAATAGAAATGATCTAGTATAGGGCAAAGACTTCTTCAAAAACATGTAGGGAAATGACTGGCCCAGGTAAACCAATGAGATTCACTAAGGATAAGCAGCAGAAACCATGCTGGCCTAACTGAAAGTGACTTTACAGACATCTGCATGGCATCTTCATTTCCTAGAAAGAGGGCACCATGCTTCTACTTTTTATTGAAATTTTTCCAAAATCCAAAATTATATTGAAAATTTAAGAAAATCCAAAATTACTGGGAGGGCCATAATAGTACAACTGACCTTTTGGTTGCTTCCTCAAATAGTCCATTCACACTTCTAATATGTATTACAAGAGGAAATGACCCTGGCACCAGCTCCCAGGTTAGTTCTCATTGGCATGAGCAAGCCAGTTTTATCCCATACAGGTGTGAAATTTATTTCAAGAAGAACAGTTATCCAGGGTCACAGTGATTACCTTAGGGGTGGATTTATGAGCTAAGTTTCCAATCAGGGCTAAGCATGAATTCTGCTTTATTAGCTGGGGACAAGTACACTGTCTCACTGTCTGCACATGAGCCAATAAACAGGTAGTTCATGGGACTACTGGCAGTCACTCTGCAACTATTGAGTGAAGGGGAACAAGATTCAGGATGATACTAAAAATGGGTAGGCAAAACAGAAAAAAATACTCTGATGTTATGCTGAACCTCTAGATTAAGCCCATTCTGAAGGCCACTCTTCAAATAAACTTGCCAGTTATCTAACTCAACATCTTTCTTCATTAGCTAAGCAATTTTGTATTAGGCTTTCTATGTTTGGAAACTAAATAGTTTCTGAGGAACAACTTAATGATTGAATGGCTAGAATTTTGTGAAGTCTAGAAGGAAACCACCAATGACAAGATATTATGTAAGGGTGGTAACCTCCATATGATCTACCAGGAGCCTTGGTCTCTGGAGGACAGATAGTAGCAGTAGGGAAGGCTGCTATTAGCCAAGGATCCCCTGTGGTCCAGAATAAATGCTCTCAATATTCTACAATAATAACATTTAAAAGTCCACCATCCCTCTTCCTTGACCATTTATGACATTTTTGGGGGGAAGCACAGTTAAAATCTCATCAAAAACCCAAACCACTCATTCATTCTGCAACTATTTATGATCTTCTAAATCATAGATAATATATTTAACCCAGAAAATAAGATGATGCATTCTTATCTTCAGAAATCTACAAAGTAGACATGGAGTAATTGCACATATATAGACAAAACCCTCAGAAAAGAGATGACACATCCGATCACCATGGACAATATAAAGGAGTCAGCTAGCCAAACTCAAAGATCAAGGCAGAACTCCTTCAAGACATCACATTGAAGCTGGGATTTAAAAGACTAACAGGAATTAGCTAGAGAAGATACAGGAATGAAGTGTTCCAGGCAGAGGGAATGGAATATGAGGAAGATCATGGCATCCAGAGATAACCATGGCTGTTATGACAGTAGGGAATGGTAGAACACAGATGCTGAGGAGATCTGAGAGTGGAGAGAGAAAAAGGCAAGGATGCTATTTTGCAGGTCCTTGAAAGCTTGGTTAAAGAGTTTGCAACTTACCCCACATGTAATTGCAAGCCACTGAAGAATTTTAAACAGTGTAATGACAATCAGATTTACATTTTTTGAAAAATCTGCTGACTTCCAGGTAGAGTTTAAACTGACAAGGGAAAGAGTTGAAGTTTGTTTAGATTACAGTATAATCATGGGGAAGAGAAATGGGCAGAAAGAAGACATTTGGGAGGTGAAATCAACAGGGCATGGTAGTTGCTGCATGTGGAGAGGAGAGTAGATGAAGTACGTAGTAGGCTGGAGCCTCTTCTTTCACCTGCACCAGAGACACCAGGCTTTGTTCTGAGAGTCCCAGTGAGGCAATTTTTGTGTCATTTTATCCCCCACCTACTGACTTCTGTTTTTTACATCATTTGGCAGGATATTTTCATTATAATAGCAATAGAACGATACAAATAAAGAAATTGGAGAAGCATCTTCACAAGTGGCCAATAATTGCAAATGATCTATGAGGAACTTTTCATTTTCTTGTGGAAGAATGAGCACAGGAGGAAACTGCATACCTGCTTCAAGTGTGCATTTAATCCTTCATGTGTGGCCTTCAGGAGTGCCCTCACTGTGAAACTATCAGGATCTTCTTTGTCTCGAATTTGAGATTCTTTTAACAGTGACTCCAGTTTTTTCCTTATGAAAGATTCTACCTGATGCTCAGTAGTTCCGTTATTCTGCAAAGAAGTAATGCAAATGATTCCCTTAAGAAACACAGAATCAAGTAGAACACACCCTTTGATCAAGTCCCCATATTCATTGTACCATTTTGTTGCTCCCCCCAATAAATCCTATAATGATTACTATTTATTAAGACCTCACAGTCTGCCAGCTGCTCTTCATGTAACTGGATTCTATTCTCAAGAACCTTATAAAGTCTTATTATCTTTCCACTTCAGTGATGTAGAATCTGGGATTTAGAGAAATTAGGAAGCTGTTCAAGGTTATAAAGCTAGTGAATAATAGAAGCAGGGTTCGAACTCAGGATTCCATGGCCATCTACTGTGCTGTTTCATGGTTTCAATAAAGAGAAGGCCAGGGAAAATTTTTGGACACTTGGGTCTTCTAAATGTACACAGGTAAATTTGAGCAAAAATATGCTATTTTTAAGAATTACTTCCTTTATTGAGGAGAAAAGAATGCTATGGAAATTTCTAGGGTTCAGGATTATTTTGACATAAAATTTCTGTTGTAGCTCCAACTCTACTGTGCAGTTAGAGAGCACAATATTGACTTGTGCTGATGTCATTATAATTATTTTAAGATCACAACTAATTTCAAAAGTTTTGGATAACAAAACTATACCCATATTCAGATTTTGATTCATACAATATTTAGGGAATCAAGGGACATAATTTCCTGAAGTTTTGCTCAGTATAGCTGTTGGCCACCTCACTCTGTGAAAACTAGTGGGCCCAGGCTCTGTTCACTATGCTTCTGCTTTTCAACTGCTTCTACCTCTCCCTATATCCAGCTTCTTCACAAATTTTCCAACCTCTTGCAGAAAACCAACCCACTCAGTGCCAAAACTTTAAGGCCATTTTTTCCACTTGAAAATTTATTACTGAGAGGCCCTTATATTTTAAACCTGCAGAATGGGGTAGCTTCCCAATGATGTATTAATATTCACAGAGTCCCATAAGAACAAAGTAATATAAATGCCACAGGGGAAAAACCTACATCAGGATGTTATGGAAGCTTTCTATACTAATATGCATATCTTTAACATATCCAATTAATGAGTTGCTGTACTTCACTGGACACCTTCAAGCCCCGAAGGAGACACAAATAGAAAAAAAGCTATTGCTTGATATCAGAAGCAAACACCCCACTATGTTAGCAAACCTATGTCCCCAAATATCCTACCTAGGTCTGCATAGGCACTTACAAAAGCACAGACTACCAGTTACAGGGTTCTGGGGAGGAATATGGATTCCTGCCTGAGTAGCTGAGAAGGCCACAAAAAAGGGGGATTTGTCTGGGTAACTAAGATATTGACACTGATGAAAAGGAGGGCTTGCCTATTCTCCATAGTTCTAGCAAAGGATTCACATGAGCAAAGCAGTGTTCTATAAAGCATAAGGCATACTTTAGTTTTCCTGGAGCAGGTGATCATGGAGGAGGAGAAAGTACTTTGGGGAGTAAAAGGACTTGAAAGTAAGAGGCATGGACCCCTGCGAATTTGAGTAGACAAGTACCTGAGTGGTGTTTTAGATACAATATCTACTGACACCATATGCTGAAAGGGGAAGGGCGTCTGCAGATGAAAAACCAGATACACAGGTCCCCACATGGGCACTGAGCACTTCAAGCAGGATACTGGGGATTTAATAAAAATGACAGAGAGCTTGGGAGCAAAACTCATTTTACATAAACATATATTGAACTTCAGCTCCATAACAGGTGAGAAACATTAATAAGGAACAACCCACCAGTGTCCCAGAGATTTACCCATAGAACAATAGTGAGTAACCTCAGAAGCACCTATACGTAGAGAGACAGGTGTGATGGGAGTCATGGGCACACAGAGGAATGGCACTTTACCCACCTTGAGAATTCAAGAGAGACTTCTAGGAGTAGAAGACACCTGAGCCAACCCTTTAAAAGCGAGAGGATTAATTTCCTATGACTGCTATAACAAATAATCCCAAAGTCACTAGCTAGAAAACATCAGACATTTATTTTCTGACAGGGCTGGAGGTCTAAAGTATGAAATCAGGTGTTGGCAGGGAACTCTACTCTCTCTGAAGGCTCCAGGGAAGGATCCTTCCTTGCACATTGCAGTGAACAGTGATGCCAAGTATTCCTTGGCTTGCGGCGGCATGACTCCAATTTCTGCCTCTGTCTGCACATGGTCTTCTCTTGTCTGTGTCCCCTTCTCTCTATGACTTTATTCTTATGTCTTCTGTCTACGTCTTTTTCAGGCATGTAAACAGCATTAATCTTACTGTACAAACACCTCACTGGATTTAGGAACCACTAGATTATTCCAGGATGAACTTATTTTAGGGCCCTTAATTACATCTACGAAAGTGCTTTCCCCAAGCAAGGTTACATTCACATGTGCTAGAGGTTAGCACTTGGACCTATTGTTTTGGTGGCCACAAATCATCCTACTACAATGAATAAGAGTTGATCATCTGGGCCACAGACTTAGCTCAGTGGCACCAGGCCTGCCTGGCAAGGTCCTGAGTTTGATTCCTGGAACTAAAAAAAAAAAAGAAGAGTTGATCATCTGACAGGTGGGGAGAGCATTTCCTTGTGAGCAAAAGCATGAAGAAAACAAATATTATTAATAAGAACTAGTAACACCAAGAGAATTTGAAGAAAAGATACACAGGGAACTACTGACAAACCTTGGAGATATTGGCCGTCCTGCCCCAGACCCCACTAAAGCAAATAATGCCATAAATCAAGTCACATAAATTCTTTGGTTTTTCAGTACATATAAAAATTATGTTTATACTATAGTCTATTAATAGCATTATGTAGGTTATACTATAGTCTACCAATCATTATCTAAAATGAAAATGTACATATCCTAATTCAAAAGTATGTTATTGTTAAAAATCCTAAGGATTATCTGAGTGTTCAGGGACTTGGAATCTTTTGCTAGTGGAGGTTCTCGCCTCAGTGTTGATGGCTGTTGAATGGTTAGGGTGGTGGTTGCTAAATGTTGGAGTTGTCGTGAGAATGTCTTAAAATAAGACAATAACATTTGCCACATAGATTGACTGATTTTTATAAGATTTCTCTGTAGTATGTGATACTGCAGCCTGTGATAAGTTTATCCACAAAATTGGAGTCAACCCTATCAAACTCTGCTGCTGTTGTATATACTGTTTGTATAATATGATAAATTCTTTGTTGTCTTTTCAACAATGGTCACAACACCTTCACTAGAAATAGTTTCCTTCTGAAGGAATCACTTACTCTGGTCTCCATTAGAAGAAACTGCTCATCTATTTCAGTTTTATCATGTGATTGTAGCAATTAAGCTTCACTTTTAATTCTACTTTTCTTGTTATTTCCACCACACAGGCAGTTATTTCCTGCACTGGAGTCTTGAACCCCTCCAAGTGATCCACGAGAGCTAGAATCAACTTCTTCCAAATTACTGGTGGTGTTAATTTTTTATCTCCTCCCATGAATCATAAATATTCTTAATGGCATCTAGAATGGTAAATTC